AGCGAGAGGGAGAGAGAGAGAGAGAGAGAGAGAGAGAGAGAGAGAGAGAGAATCGGGGAAGGGGTGATGTCAATATATTTTAATTGAAAGATAAAACAAACAAACATGTTGACTCTTAATTACATTTCACGTGTGGAGATCAGAGGACAACTTCTGGGAGTTACTTCGCTCCTTCCACCATGTGGAGTCTGAGGGATTGAGTTTAAGCTCTCAGGTTTGGCGGCAAGTGCCTTTACCGCTGGAGAGACGACCCCAAGTCCCACACTCACCCTTTTTACTAGACCCGGGCGAACGTGTTAAGGTTTTGACCCAAGTTAGCTTCCAAGTGCGGTTCCAGGAGCATACACCCGTATCTAATCCCTGCGCCCTTCCGGCCACACCTGAGAAGTGAAGATGAGGCTCCAATGAAGGGAGAAGAGATGCAAAACACCAGGGAACGAGGGTCAGGCTTTGGTGCCCAAGAGGGGCTCAGCACCAAACCCTTCCCGTGGATAAGCTGGGGCCAGACGGGCAGCTTTGCGGGCGTTACTAACAAGGGCTCTACGTTTGCACCGGGGGCTTCCCGGCGTTCTTGGGAACAACATCCGGGTCACTGTCTCATACTGACCAATGAGCGGAGGCCCTTGAGCTAGCGGGCGGGCCCTAAGCTCTGCAACTTGGCGATGATAGGCCAACAGCTTCCGTGACCTGTAGCCGCGCGTCTGTGCCTGTGGCTGAGCTAGGCTGGGCGCGGGCACTTCCGCGGGGGAGCAGCCGGAGAGGGAGCCATGGGGACAGTGCACGCCCGGGTGAGAGGCCCCGCGGCGGTCGGGGGGTGGGGACACGCGCACCTCCCGGGGCAAGGGCAGTGGGAAGGGTGCGGGAACCGCTTGGGCCTGCGACGGTAGCGGTCCCGAGGACGGTGGTGACTTACCCAAGGTCACTCAGCGGAATTTCCCCGGGTGACCTCACAGCACCGGTCTCTATGGGACCGCGGCGGGGAAGAAGGGTTTGTCAGAAGGCAAGATATGAACAAGTTATTTAACAGACTTGTTTTAAATTTTTCAGTTATTATTTGCAAGAGTGTTCGCATCTGTGTGTGTGCACTTTGTGTGCAGAGCCTGTGGAGACCAGAAGGGGGCGATGGAGCCCCTGAAGTTGTAGTTACATTACAGAGGGTTGTGAGCCCCCAGGTGGGTGCCGGTACCACTGTGGTCCTCTGCAAGATGCTGAGCCATCTCTCTAGCCCAATGCTCTTGCTTTTAAAAACAAAAACAAAGCTTGCATTTATTTATTTGTTTGTTTTTTTGTGTGTCCATGGGAAAGTCCAAAGACAACGTGTTGCAGTATTCTCCTTCCACCATGTGGAATCTAACACAGTCATCAGGCCCCAGGGGCAAGCTCCTGTACCTGCTGAGCCCTCTATACTCTTGAATTGGCTTTTAGTTGCCACCTGGAATTGGGCTGCATCTTGTTCTATACAACAGAATGAGCTCTCCTTCCCCTGAGTGGGCAGAGCAAAGCGGAGAAGAGACTTGTCCCGTCTCATCATTTCCTCCTCCCCTGTCATTTTCTGCCTTTGGCTTTGTACCCCAGGATGGCCTCACATTAGCAGTCCTGTCTCGGCCTCTGAGTTCTGGGATTACAGACATGTGTTGGTATGCTTGGCTCAGTTACTATCTTTGAAGTTGCCTTTTTTGAGGTTTTTGCCTGTTGTCTTCCTCATGTCTCCTATAGTCTGATGAACAAGTTAGTTTCTGTTTAGGGACACAGATCTTCTTCATGACCAACTCTATTTAGTTAGTTATTTTTGTAGTGGTCTTTTGGGCCCAGTGTGGTACCTTAGTTGCAGCCAACAGCCTATTGTTAATGTTACTGAATAAGTAGTTGGCTACTTACTGCCAGATTCTTTCATTTTGTAATTGTTCCCAAAGGTCAGAGAATGAGCCATCTGTCCAGAGTCACAGAGCCTCAAAATGCTCTAAAATCAAGACTTACGGAGTCCTGGACCCAGCACCACACAGTGTCAATAGCATCACTTGCCCTACGACTCATTTTCTGGTAGTGTTCCTTTACTTCCAATAGCACTTAGCCTGAGGCCTCCAGACTTGGGCACACCACATGCACACGGCTGTTTCACATACCATTGCACTTGTGATACACTTTGAACTGTGCTGTTGACCTGGGCTCATTCCCTATCCTACGGGTCATGTCCACACCCTGCCTTACCTACCAAAATAGTCATATCTTTTTTAAAAAAATATTTATTTATTATGTATACAACAATCTGTTTCCATGTATATCTGCACACCAGAAGAAGGCACCAGATCTCATAACGGATGGTTGTGAGCCACCCTGTGGTTGCTGGTAATTGAACTCAGGACCTCTGGAAGAGCAGTCAGTGGCTCTTAACCGTCTCTCCAGCCCCTAAAATAGTCATATCTTTCAGAACTTAGTTCATATTACTTTTCCAGTCCTCTCTTGAATAGTGCAGGAACCTATTAGGCAAGATCCTCAGCACTGCAGGCATCCTTCAGGCAAGCACCCACTGACCTAGATCTGTAGATCTCTTCAAATATTTTAAAATTCTGAGACAGCCTTTCACTACCTCGGGGCCTACCTTGAGCTCACTCTCTAGACCAGGCTGGCCTTGAACTTGGTATCCTTCGTACTTTTGTGTAGCTGGGATTACTGATCTATTTGCCAGGCATAGTGGTTCACACCCTTAACCTCAGCAGTAATGAAGCAGAGGCAGTTGGATCTGTTGGGAGTTCGAGCCCAGCCCTATCTTCTTAGTGAGTTTTAGGACAGCTAGGGCTACATAGTGAGACCCTGACTAAAAACAAAAAACAAACAAATAATATGTAGTGAACAAATCCTGAAGGACACTAAACTTTGGCAGAAGTGTAAATCACAGTGACATCCTGTTTTAACATCTTCCCTCCAGATTATGGGGCCAGTGGTTTCTGATGAACTTTTCCCATGCTTTAACATTTTAGGAACTATATTGGAACTTTTTAGAATAATGGAATGCAAACTCTGCCCAAACAAGGCATATTTGCCAACTGTTGGATTAAGAATGGATCCATGTGTACATTCCTGCTTTGCCTAATAGTGTTTCAGTACTTATAAGAAGTTAATAGTGATTTAGTTTTAAAAACACTAACAACAAAAACCAGTGGATAATGACATGAAATGATGTATTCTTTGTCATCCTTGGTAAGTACCTCAGGCTGGGATTGAACTTACAGTCTTACATCTGCATGAGTGCTGGGGTTATAGTCACATACCTGCTTTTCTTTTTTTCCCTTCACCATAGAGACTTAGTGGTTTTGTTAAGTAAAAAAAAAAAAAAAAAGAAAGAAAGAAAGAAAGAAAGAAAATTATATTTAATCAGTATCCTGTGGATAGGAATTGAGTACAAAAAAAAAAAAGAAAACCTGTCTGAAGTTGCAAATTTCTAGCATTTAATCAGGCATGGTGGCTGTAATCCCAGGAACTTGGGAGTTAGAAGCAGGAGGATCGGGAGTTCAAGACTCTTCTTGGCTATGTAGTGAGTTTGAGGCCATCCCTGGGTATGTGAGACCTTGATCCTGACCCTGCACACATGCCCACAAAACACACACACACACACCCACACAAACACACACACACACCCACACACACA